GGAGTATAAATTAGTTCAACCATTGTGGAAGACAGTGTGGCAATTCCACAGGGACCTAGAAATAGAAATACCATTTGACCCGGCAATTCCATTTCTGGGTAGATACACAAGGAAATACAAATTGTTCTGTTATAAAGGCACATGCACATGTATGTTCATTGCGACACTGTTTACAATAGCAAAAACCTGGAACCAACACAAATGTCCATCATTGATAGAATAGATAAAGAAAATGTGGCACATATACACGATGGAATACTACGCAGCCATAAAAAAAGATGAGTTAGTGTCCTTCATAGGGATGTGGATGAATTTGGAAACCATCATTCTTATCAAACTGATACAAGAACAGAAAACCAAATACTGTATGTTATCACTCATAGGTGGGTGTTGAAAAATTAGAACATGTGGGCACCGGGAGGGGAGCATCACACATTGTGGTCAGTGGAGAGGTCTAGGGGAGGGACAGCAGTGGTAGGGAGGGTGGGGAGGGGTAATGAAGGGAGAAATACCAGATATAGGTGATCAGGGGGATGAAGGTAGCAAACCACCTTGCCATGTATGTACCTATGCAACAATCCTGTATGATATACACATGTACCCCAGAACCTAAAGTACGATAAAAATAATAACAATAATAATATATCTGGCAAGTTAATGCTTTTCTTTTGTATAAGATCTGTTAGTTGATAAAATCTTTAGAAACTCACCTACAATTTAAAATGCAATATTCATTACCCAAGGAATCTCAATGAGGGAACCTCTGAATATAAGAGATATTGTATAATTCAAAAGCTTGACAGGACTTGCCTTGGGCAAAACTGTGACATCAGTAAAGTATGTTTTTGTTGCTCTATGTTAGTAGGTTTCAAACATCAGGTCAGAGATATTCATAGGTTATTTAATTAAGCACTAAATTTGGTGAGCAGGGTGATAATTTAAGAAAATAAAATGGAGGATAGGAAAAATAATAGGAAATAGAGTTTATTACAAATAGTGAGGGTAAGTTATCTGTGTGTGTGTGTCTGGGTGTGTTGACATGTGTGCACATGTGTGTGTACTAGATCACAAGTAAAGTGTATGTTCTACTGTGAAATATGCTCACAAGGTGTGAAAGGTATGACTAACCTGTAACATCCTTCTTCATCTAAACTCTTAACTTTCATCCTAATCCAATTTAGCATGTATTGAACTTTCTTAATTTATGTATCATATTCTCTGATAAACACTGAGAACATAGATATGAATAAATTTCTCTACATGCAAGAAATTCATACCTTAAGAAAGGCTACAAAGATAGAAATGACTTTGGTCTGTGTCATTTATTAGCAGTAGATCAAAATATGATCAAAAGATTCAAACAACTCTGCCTGAAGGAGTTGGCACATTTTTACATAAAGCAAATTTAGTACTTTATCTGGAAGGCTGAGGATAAGTTTGGTGACCAGATATAAAAGAGGAGAACATTTATTTAAAGTAAAGGCAACTGTGGAGCAAAGCACACAGGTTTGAAGTTCGATGGCATGTTTAGGGAATGACAGGTAAGTTAAATGCTTAAACTAGGAGAGAGGATAGGGACACAAGGGCCGAAAATGGTATAAAAGATAAGGTAGTAAAAAAAACTTTTGGACCAACAAGTTATTTATGCTAAGGTCAATACTTATATTTCACAAGCAGCAGAGTACCATTGAGAATTTCTGGAAACAAAGACAAGTCAGGTCATTTCAGATGTGGCTTGATTAAAAAAAAAAATGCATTAGACTATAGTCTAGAATGGAAGAAGTAAATATCCAAGAGAAACTTTTAGTATGGCAGCTAGCAATACCTACTGACTGAAAGTAAAAGAAACGAAGAATCAAACTAACTTCGAATTTTCAAGTTAACCAGATAGAGCAAGATGCCAGTAAGTAAGAATAGGTAGGAGTTAATCACTGCAGTTTGGGGTGAGCTAGTTTTGAGAAACCAGTGAAAAATCAACGCCAACTTATCCAGTAGACCAAATTTTGAGTTCATAAGAAAGAAGGTCCTTTTCTAGCCTTTGAATGTAAGATGGTCGAGTAACTTGCTTTACCCAATACAAAGTGGTAGAATAGATACCGTCAAAGTTTCAAGCATAAGCTTCAAGGGAGACTTGTGCACCTTCCACTTGTGCCTCATTAGAACAATAATTATGAGGAGACACCAAAGCTGGTCTGCTGGAGACACACGGCCCAATCAACAACCAGCACCAACCACAAGACATAGTGTGAGGCCATCTTAGACAATTCAGCCTCTATTGAGGCTCTGTAGACACAAGAGTTATTCCAGAAAAGAGCAGCCAAAGAGCCTCAGTTGAATCTATTCCAAATTGCTAATGTGAAAAGTCGAAAAGTGTATTGCTTTAAATTGCTGAATCCTGGTATGGTTTGTTATACACCAGCAGATAATGGACATACTATCTCCCTTTATTCCACTAACTTGCTGATTATTACTTGTGCCACTCATTTAGCACTTATATTCGGCCCTATTATTAGAAATCCTTTTATAAAGGTAATGACAATGTTGGCTCCTCAACTAAATGGTAAATTCCTTTAAGACAGAAATTATTTGTCTTTTGTTTTGTTTTATTTTGTCTGAGATGGAATTTCACTCTGTGGCCCAGGCTAGAGTGCAGTGGCCTGATCTCAGCTCACTGCAACTTTTACCTTCTGGGTTCAAGCAATTCTAGTGCCTCCACCTCCCGAGTAGCTGGGACTACAGGCCCGTGCCACCACACTTGGCTAATTTTTGTATTTCTGGTAGAGACAGGGTTTCACCATGTTGGCCCCGCTGGTCTCGAACTCCTGACCTCAAGTGATCCACTCGCATTGGCCACCCAAAGTGCTGGGATTACAGGTATAAGCCACCTCGTCAGGCCAAAATTATTTATTTGTATCCTCAGCAATGCCGCCAGGGGAACATAGGTTTATTAATATCAACTGATTGCACTAAAAAGTAATACAGAGAATAAATAAGCACTGAAGTACATTACATAGAATAAGTAAGGACTTGGATCTAAAATACTATCAAGATATGGGAAAGAAATGTTTTAAAGTCAAGATTGCATATTTGATACAGGCTATTTTGAAAAGCACTTAATAAATATTAAATGACATGATTATATTTTCACACATAAAAACAATTTGAGCATCATGAAGAGGGAATAGCTGAGAATCAGAACTTTCTTTTAAATTTAAGGACTTTCCCTCTTTTTTTTCCCTGGTACATAATTTTAGTTTTATTTTTTGTCTTTATAGCTTGTTCCTTTTACTTAACTTTTTTCCTTTGGTTTTTGTATGTTTCCTTTTGCTCCAATTATCTTTCACTTTCTACTCTTTAAAGTTCTGTGATGTTTTAATATTTGCTACTAAAATGCAAAGCTCATGTCTGTTAAGTATTCCTACAGTATGCTCCAAATAAATAAACCAGGGAAACAAAGTTCTTCCTTCCAAGGAAGATACTAGGTTGGTGCAAAAAGTAATGGTAGTTTTGGCCAAAATCACCATTACTTTTGCACCAACCTAATAGCATTCCCAATAACTTTTGTAGTCCTAAGTGTACTTTCTTAAGTGTACCACATTGTTTTAGACTGTGGTTTCTCATATGCTTTTTAACAGTGGAAAGCTAGGCTACTCTGTTTTGGTTTCTTGGAAATGTATGTTAATTAGATCTAGCATTGAAGCTTTTCAGGAATCCTATGCAAATAATTTCTCAAGGTAACACCTACTCTCATGTTCTTTGAATAATTTAAATATGATTTAGCCTCAGAAAATTATAATTTGTTTTCCCTGGAAATACTTAAAATGTCATCAAGTTATCATCTAAAATATTGGTTTAACACAAACACACACACACACACACACACACACAGGAACTGAGAATGGTTTAAGAATATTAATATCAACAAATGTGACTTTCTATATTTTGTATCTTCCAAGAAAAAAAAATGAGTACACTGAAATTCAGTGTTCCCATTATGCTAGGAAATAACATGTTATGTGTGGAAGGAGATTACACTTCTATTTTATAAAAATCCATCTCAAGAGTATTTCACTTTTCTAACTGCTTAGTAATAAATCTTTTTATGTTAAGTATTTTCCAGAAATGTAGAAGATATTATCAAGGGTATGTAACTGGGATTACTGGCATGCACCACCAGGCCTAGTTTTTTTGGGTTTTGTTTTGTTTTGTTTTTCTGTGTTTTTAGTAGAGACTGTTTCACTATGTTGTCCAGGCTGGTTTTAAACTCCTAGACTCAAGTGATCCACCCACCTGCCTCAGCGTCCCAAAGTGCTGGGATTACAGGCGTAAGACACCTCACCAGGCCAGTGCCTATGTCTTAATTCCCTCTATGTAAATGGAGAAGCCACCTAATTTATCAGTTTGTATGAGAGCATCAGCTATTTCCAATGTTTCAGTGTCAATCATGCCTATCTTTAGTGCACCAGCAAAGTAAAGTAGCTCAATCTGTCTTTTAATTCAACTGTAAGTGACATTGGCTAGATACCCATTCTTTCAGTGAAATTATTTAGTTTGGCTTGTTATTTCGGGAGTCAAGATCGACTACCATCCTTTTAAGGTCAGATTCTACCCATGATAGTTAAGCATGTGATTGGCTTGGTCAGGGCAGCAGCAGAGGGAGAGATGGTTATTACAAATAAATCAGTTTTGCTGACTTCCTGATTTTCACTAAATACTTATCCAAAGTAGCTTTCCCTCCACTTCCCTTACCTACACTATCACGCTACTCTCCCAGATAATTTAGAGCTATGCTCTGGATTTCTTATTTGTTCATTTTAATTATTTAACGTTAATTAATGTTTATCTTTGCATTCCAGTTCTACATGTTTTCTATCTCCCTTCCTATTTCTCTCCCACTCTTTCTTTTTAAACAATGACCATTCATAGAAATCAAGCAATACATTGAAACCTGAAGAGTCAATGGGAGTGTCAAGAAGCATAAAAAGCAAGATTTCTCTCACCCATAGTCTCCTTTATTGACCTGTTCAATTAATTCTGGACGAACAAGGCATACATGCTGGGAACATTTCCACTGCTGTCCTGAGCATGTGCTGCAAAGACATGACAGTTACAAAAGTGGCTTGGTCTTTATGAAGTATATTTCAATTAGTAACAAGAATTACACATTGTTCAGGCATAAAACGTAATTTCTTGATTAAAGTTAGCCATATGTTATTTGATTCTTGGCAAAAATAAATGGTAAAACATACGTTAGCTACCACTCACTATGCTGTTATCCTCTACTCCAGGCAATTAACAAATGATATGATCACACATTCGTAAAGTTTGAAAACATAAGCCAATTTGGACACTAGATTCAATGTACTTGTATTTGGAAGCTTTCTGCAGGCTAGTCCTTTTAAAGCAGCCTGCTTTTATATAATTATTGTGCTTTAAAAACACAATTTGCCTGTCGGATATCAGAATATTATAATTAAGAGGTATAATTAATGCAGACCTGCTGTATGATGATTTATTATCAAGAACATCAACCTCAAACATTAAAAGATATTCATGATTAAATTTTCAAAATTCCTTAAAATTAAATATACTTACAAAAAGTTACAGGTATGTTATGTCTTATGACATATGATTCTGTCTATATGTACTTAAATGTTTTATTTCACAAATATTTCTTTTATTTAAAGAAAACATACACAGACAGTAGAACTCAGTTCTGTGCCACTTAAATTTATTACCAGGAGTTGCAGTTTTCTTTAATTACTGATCCCTCTTCATAACGTTGACCATCTTTGAAGCAACCTGTCAAAGTAACACGTAAGCAAATCAAAATGCTAAACTAAGCAATAAAGTTCATTCATATAAATGTAATCAAAAATCATGGTTAGCTTTTCAAATATGCAGAAATGTTTGGTGTCAAGCTGATAGAAATCCGTGTCTGGTTTATGCCAAGGTTTGTGTATCAAATTCTTCTGGGCCCGTTTCAATGCTTTTATCTTTAAACTGCATATTATGGTCCAACAGGGAGGATTTGTAAAGCACGAAAACAGGATTACCAAAGAATTAATCACTATGCTCAAAAAATAACGCTTTTAAGTAGCAATATAATAGTATTTGAATTGATTTATGGCATTTCTCATTTTAAAAAACAACTAATCAAGTCTCATAAGTGCTTAAAATTAATTGGATATGAATAGACCAAATAGCTCATAGCTTTGGACTCAAAATATCAAGTAATTTCATGGAATTTACCTTACAATGACAAATTCTATTTTTTTTAAGATCTGAATAAGGGGACAATTCATAAAATCAATAATATTGTAGCCATTTTCCTTCCAAATCCAAATGTTTCTTAACTATTAGCTGAAACTAGTTATTGTTTTATGAGAATATATGAACTACTCAAAGATGATGAACAATGAATTATCATATAAAAACCTTTGGTAACATTGTGAAAATAGTTCTCTGGTTAAACATTTAAATTCCTTTTGAAAATATAATCTGCTCAAATTTAAAATTAACACTGAATTAGCAAAAGGGACTCAACTTTGTCTAGTGAAACTGTTTTTGACAGAAACAATTGATATTTTATGCCAATGGCCTCTAATTAAACAAAATTAATTTTAATCTTTTATTCATAAAATCATAGGGCAAACAATAGGATTAGAAAGCATTCTGAGAGACCTGGTTTAACTTCTAGTCACAATGTTACAAAGTCACTTAGGGAATTAGCTATCCTTTGATTTTCCAAAAAATATTTTAATAGGAAATATTTCATAACTGCCCATCCCCTGAATGTTTTACAATTCAATATTTTACTTAATACATATAGTGATTTATATATTTGCATCTATGCTTCCCTTTCACGTGGAATTTTGATAGTTCACAATCATGGGGTAAGAAAAGAAACCACCTCTCTCCTGACCACAGTCTTCCTTATGCAGCAAGCCCAAGATGGGGGAAGACTGAATGTTACCTCCAATTCATGGTTTTAATTGCTATGTAAGATTAGACACGCATCATAACTGCATTCACAATATGTTTCTAATTTCAAAAGATCCTAGAATTTTTTAATCACCTAGAAACAACAGAAAATTCATGCAACAATTCAAGTTTTCATTCAAAGTCAAGAGAAGTACTTTCTTAACCATTCTTAAAAATCAAGAGTGTGGCATAAAAACAAAGCTGATTTTTAATCATACTTCATGAATCTTGAGTGCTCAGCTTCTGAATTCCATGGATAAATGGAACAGAGCTCTCAAGGGTCCTTAAAGAAAAAAGACTGTCCTTTCTCTGACTTGTAGTCAGCTAATAATTTTGAAGTCAGGAAAATGCCATTACCAAGCCACCCAAAATCATCAGCACTAAATTTAATGTTAACAAAACCTCCATTTCTTGGTCATCCATCCTTAATGTCACGTAAGAGATAACTACGAGACACTACATTCGCTTTAATCGCATATGAGAATTAATCTCTTGAACAAAAGCCATACTCAGTTACACCTGACCCCAGTCCAGGTGCTGACACAACATGCAGACACAGTTCACTCTCTCCTTACTACAATCCTCCCCAACTCCAACTCATTTCCCACATGGCATCTACAGAGATCTACAAAAATATACATGTTACTTCCTACTTAAAACATTTAAGTCGTTTCCCATCAAATTTAGAGTAAGACCAAACTTCTTATTGTAACCTATGAGGCCTTACTCAAAATGTCTCCACCCTAATCTCCGCATTTATCACTCCTGTTGAGCCGACTGGAGTGGAGGTTACCAGAGGGATGAAGCCTTAGCATAATAGTAGGGAGGCTAGAGGGAAGCAGGTGAATATAATTTGGAGGTAATGGAAAGGGACTCACTCCTGGATTGAGTTTGGCGAAAAAAGGAAAAGAGGAATCAAAGTTATCTCATTAGGACTTTGGTTTGAGTAATGGAGAAACAGTGCAGCTATCACTAAGATAAGAAACAGGTGTGTGTCAAGAAATCAAGACTACTACATTGCATATTTTAGATTTAGATAAAACCTAGGCTAGACATCCTAACAGAGATATCAAGTAGACAGCAGTTTATAAAAGATGAGAGTTAAGCCAAGGCTGGAGCCTGAATTTGGAAGACATCAACATCCATATCTTTTTAAAACCCAAGACTAAATAAGAGTCTTTTGGAGAGAGTGTATGTAGGTAAGAGAAAGTGGTCCAGGACTGAGCTCAAAACACTGCATTTGATAGACATTCAGAAGAGGAAACTGGGAAGAAGTGGCCTGTGAGGAACCGGGAATTGAGGAAAGGGTGGAGTCATCCAAAACAGGGTTACGAAAGTGGTTCATACACTCAAGGTGGTCAGCCGCATACAGTACTATGGAGAGGCCAAGAACCAGAAAACAGACACCTGAATATTGCACTTGGGAGTGTGGGAATTGCCGATAACCCTGCCAAGAGAGATTTCAGTGAAGTTGCAGGGAGTTGACTTCCTGTAGGAATGGGTTGATGAGAGACTTGGAATAAGAAGTGAAAGTTTTCTTTCAGTTATTTTGCCACGCAAGGAAAGAAGGGGATGAGATGGTACCTGGTTAAAGGCATGAGTTAAGGGAGAGCTTTTTTAAAGTCGGGAAAGAAAAAAAGGCATTTTGTAAATTAACGGTTAATCCACGTGTATTAGTCTGTTTTCACACTGCTAATAAAGACATATCCAAGACTGAGTAATTTATAAAGGAAAGAGGTTTAATGGACTCACAGTTCCACACGGCTGAGGAGACCTCACAATCATGGCAAATGACAAAGGAAGAGCAAAGAGAAGTTCTATTTGGTGGCAGGCAAGAAAGAGCTTGGACGGAGGAACTCCTATTTATAAAATGATTAGGTCTCGTGAGACTTACTCACTACCACGAGAACAGCATGGGAAAAAAACCTGCCCTGAGGTTCAATTACCTCTCACTGGGTCCCTCCCATAACAGGTGAGAATTATGGGAGTACAATACAAGATGAGATTTAGGTGGTAACACAGCCAAACCATATCACCAGGAGAAAAGAAAAAAAAAAAATGATGCTTCAGGAGAAACAGCAAGAAAGGGAAGGAAGGGAGAGAGAATGGTAAAGATGGAAGTACTGAAAAGACAAGAGAAGATGGGATTCAGAGCTCAAGACAGGGAATCAACTTAAGGTAAGCAGTAACCCAGGTGGAGGTAGGTTGAAAACTCTGATTGTGAAGAGATGAAAGAATTCCTGTCTGGTAGCTTCACTTTCTCAGTAAAGTATGTCTGGGGCACCTCAGAGTGAGATAATTAATCAATTGGTTACACACACAATATATTGACCAATAAAATAAAACAAAGCCAAAATTAATGACTGTTGGAATTAAGGCAGTTTTACAACTTTAACAGTCTTTAAAGTAATATTAGGCAAATCATGTATTTGGAGAATAAAATCATTTATCTTCTTGAATTGAGAAAAGATGATAATACATTGTCCATAATTTATTTTAAAATAGTTCATCACAGTGTATTATAAGTATCTGTGCTGGTTTAAATGTCACTTCTTGAATTGCAAAAAGATAATAATATGTTGTCTATAATTTATTTTATAATAGTTCACCACAGTGTATTATAAATATCTGTGCTGGTCTAAACTTTACTGTAAGAAAGGCAGTTACTTGCTCTAATCAGGAATCCACCCCCGAAGGGTTGTCCAGTGGCATTCATTCTCAAAGGTAAGACCTTGGAGCAGCTGCTACAAGTGCTTCCATTATCCACATTTTCATCAACACTAGAGTATTCAAATAATAAATGTCAGAAATGAGTTTTATTGTTAAAATGTATGACTTGTTAATCAGCACAGTTTTGATAAATAACTACCTCCGATTGGTTAAATTATGAGGTTAACTTATGAGGATTACCTAAAATATGTCAAAGTCACATCCCACCTTTGTATCCCATAGTTTATACGTATCTCTTAAACTCAAAACACCTGTAATCTTAGACTCGGTGCTCTAGTATTGATGTTTGTCCTGTGTACTGTGTCCAGTCAAGTAGGTAGGAGGAATTGTCATTCTCTGATAGCCACTGTACAGGTAACAGTCATGCCACTGAAGTGTTATCACATGTGCCTCCAATAAATTTTTAATGCAACGTAGATGTGGGAACACCTAAAAGGACAGAAACTGGAGACTTCATGAAGCTTGCAGAGGTTGTATAAATTGGTTTGTGTCATATTTTTATGTGTCAGCATATGTGGCAAAGAATGGACCGTGATTTATTGTCAGTGTAGTAGAGTTAAGGAGGCTGAGAAGTAAATAATCCTTATCTGATTCAAACATGTCAGTGACACACACATTTTTTTATCTTTTTTCTTTGATTAGGATTATACACACACATATTGTACATAATCAAATTAGCTTAAGTCTGTTCATGACAGATGGTCTACTAGACTTTCTCCTTAAGATCCGCTGCAGCAAAAGGTTATGTCTAGAAAATTCACTCTAGCTGTTTTCAACTCTACCACTGGTTCTCCATAACTGACATTTGATTTTTTTTTTTTTTTTAACTTTGACAGAGTCTCATGCTGTCATCCAGACTAGAGTGCAGTGGCGGGATGATAGCTCACTGCAGCCTCAAACTCCTGGGCTTCAGAGATCCTCCCACCTCAGCCTCCCATGTAGCTGGGACTACAGTGCATGCCACCATGACTGGCTAATTTTTATTTTTTTATTTATTTTGAGGTGAAGTCTTGTTCTTTGTATATTTTTGGTAGAGATGAGGTCTCATTGTATTGCTAGGTTGGTCTTAAACTCTTGGCCTCAAGAAA